CAAGTCAAATTAGGAAACACTGAAAATTTCCTTTATTTTCGTCGGTTTAGCCAGAATCACAAGTCTTCACGAGAATTGGTGTAACTTTCTGACCGTTGATCCAAATGACTTCAATCTTCTTTTGGATGCAGGCTGACTCAATTTTCTATCTCGTATCCAAATTTCAGATCAATCCAATGAATATAAGGCCTCCAACGATTGCTTGACATATAACGCTTCAGAACTGTCCAACATCTCTTTTCTCATCCTTTTTGCTCAATTAACCTGTAAAAGACTCTAAACACTACAAACACACTAAAACTACCATTTAAGACATAAAACCGCATAAAAACCATTAGATAGAATAGTAAACAACATATAAAAAACCATAAAAACCAGAATATATCAACTCCGAATTGGTTCATTTACAAAAACAGAACATTAGCTTATTATTTACTCGAAGCTTTAGCGCGCAAGCCACTTGGTCAGCTTAACTCAATTTGGTAATACTTAATTACGTATCAAATTTATAAAAAATGGTAATTGTAATAAGTACAAAATGTTTACTATTATCTGCATGGTGGCATGCTGCATGTTTATATTGTTATATTGTTAGAGACATTAGAAATTTAGTTGTCATGTGACATGTTTATAGATTTGGTCGCTGATTAGAGATACTGTTGTGGTAAGTAAAGATCTTTATTCCTTCTATTGGCGGGTGGAAAATTTAGCAAAATAAATAAATAAAATAGCATATGATCATAGCTAGGATCTTTTATATATTATATGATCCGATCATATGTTATTTCTTTATTTTTGCTATATATATATTATACTGACCATAAACATATTATACCAATCAGTTTATAAAAAAAAGACATATTATACCAATCCGTGTATGAAGTAGTAATTCAAACTCAAAGCTTAAATGCTAATTTCATTCAGAATTTATTTACGATTTTGTATTTAGAAAATGATGTATTGTTCATGTAAAGGACCTAAAACTCTACTATAGTACCAAACAAAGAAGAAGTAAATTCCTTAAAATTGTTTTGGTCTTAGTGTCTTACATATTGTGTTCTTTTACAATGTCATATGTGTGAATAGAATTTAAATATTTATAGGATCTTAATTTTTTTCAAAATAACATGGGAAGATAAGAACTGATGACGAATGTATGGTTTCAATATTAGGTAAACAGAAGTACATAAAATTGTTAGTTTCTATCTTTCCCTTCCATAAAGTCTCCGAATTTCTTTCTTCTTTTTCCCTTTTTCCTCAAACTTAATTAACACGTTTTCAATTGTTCTATCAAAATGTAAATCGTGGAACAATTGGAGTATATAAATAGTCGATGGAGAAAAGAGAAGAAAATCTAGAAAAAGTGTATGACGAAAAAATTACAAAAAATATAAAACGTGTGCGGTTTATAGTGTAATGCCTTGACCACTCATTATACTCTCTTTATTCTCTACGCTTTTCACAAGTAATTGATGTAACATCGAACGTTACATGTTCTGACTTTTGAAATCGTTTTAAAAAAAATATATTAAAAAATACATAGGATTTGTGATTTTGAGTTATTGAAGAATTTTAACGGGTTCGATCGGAGGATTAAGAGAATGAGTTCGTAACGGAATCAAAATCTTGTGAGTCTTACTGAGTAAACTTGTTTTGGTCAGTAAAAAAAGAACCAAAAAGAAAAGACTTGCTTAAATCAGTTATAAATTTGTATTGTTAATTGTACACTCATCCCTCGAGTTTTAACGTTTGCGGTAGAAAAAAACTAGCTGTATCCTACTTTAAGCTAAAACTTAATGTTCTGGCAAATTTTTGAGAAAAGTTCGTTCTTTCTATATGTGGAAAGTTTTTCCACAGAAGAATGTGATATTGATCAGGAGCAAAATAAAATATAAATGTATGTATAATTGTCATACACGACTTGGAAGTTAAACATATACGATCACAATTTTTTTGTTGTTAACAACTTATGATATAATATACCAGTTTAAAATCCAAACCGGAAAAACCACAATCACAATATCATATATATGTATAAGTTCAAGACTTAAAAACAGATTGTCCAGAGATAGTGATCATCTAAATAAATTTCGAAGATTGGCCGAGTTTTGCTACTATGTTCAAGGAGTTTAGTGGGCTTAGGAAAATATTTTTCTAGATTCTCTCTGTCTTTGATCCCTTGCTCTTGAAATTTGTAAACATATTGTTTAGCTCGATTTTCTAGTTTAATTTGAAATCCTCTGAAACTTAAGATGTATCAGTTTTAAAACTAATATTGTTAATCTAAACAAAATGATCCAAAATAGGTTATCGCCAATGCAAGAACGGAATTCGGCTCAAGATAAATCGATAATATTAACATCATATCGAAAGTGATATGTTAAACATTTCATATGCTTGTTAAGACATAAAAGTTTTCAATTGCATTATCTTTTATATTGTAAATTTTCAAACTATCAAAACAATCATGTTTATTATACCACAAAATTAATTATATTTTGTAACACAATAATTCTAAAACAGAAGGAAGCAGTTTCAGTGAATCAGGGCATGTTACAAAGATCGCACGCGCCGTGTCGACCGCCGACCAAATCCCTAACCTCAAACTATGTCCCTCCCACACAGTTGCATGCATTTGGTCTTCACTAACCTCTTTTATTTATTTAATCTTTTTAATTCAAACTTTCGTTTTCAACCATTTAAAAATCTCCTATCTAATAATATAAAATGTTACGAAATCAACTTACTGAATCTCCATATCTGAATTATATCCGTATAACATTAAGTTATAGATGCATTGTTCCATGTTGTCTTATCAAAACCATTATTAAATCTGACTTTAAATATGATAAACAGAGTAAACAATCTGAACTAATAACTACTAAGTTCATAAGCATGTATTTATTCGTAAGAAACGACATACTAAACCTATAATGGAGTATATTATCAAGAAAACAAATCGAATCATTCTAGATGCTTACTAACAATCATACATCTTCAACAACAAAATAACTGATGATGTTATATTTTATACATGTGTTAAAAATAATTTTATTAAAACAAGTATTTTAGATATGATCAGTTTTCACATATCTAAAACACGAAAATTC